ATAATATATATGTTGTTATTGTTATTTTAAGTTCTGACTCATAGCGACCCTGTATAGGGTTTCCAAGGAGCAGCTGGTGAGCTTGAAACCGCTGACCTTGCAGTTCAAATGGCTTTGCAATCTGGTGCATTAACCCACAGCGCCACACCAGGACTCCTTTGTAACATATGCTTTAGCAAACACATTTATTCAATTTTACTTAGTATGTACTTACTGAAGTACCTGGTAGAGTAACCACTGGACTGCTAACTGCAGGTCAGAGGTTCAAACCCACCAGCCACTCCACAGAAACTATATGCTGTTGTTGTGAAGTGCTATGGAGTCAGTTCTGACTCAAAGTGACCTTTCATAAACTTTCCAGTCCCCCCAGAAACTCTATACATGTTGCTATGTATCAGAACCAACTCAAAAGCACATAACAACAATACTTTTGTGTAGTTCTTTTTACAGATTTTGCACTTGAACTATATAATAAAACAATCAACTTAGCAATGGTGATAGGATAGACATTTGTATATTAGGTACTACCTTATCTTGCTCTCTAAGAATTATGTAGTTGGCAAATAGCAGAAATTAAGCAATACTACATAACACAACCCCCCCTTTTTTAATTCTATAGCCTAATCTAATATAAAAAATTGTTAAGACCTAGATCCTACCATCAAAAAGTCTGTAATACAGTTGTAGTACAAAGACATACTCAAATGCTGACAATTAGTTAGCAAGGCAAGTGATGGTTCAAATGAAAAATGCAGTGCCTGATACAATGCCTGGTACATAGAAAACACTCAGGTTGGATGGATGGATGGATGGAAAGATAGATGAACAGGGAGAAGGGCAGATGGATTGACAAATTATAGTTTAAAATCTAAGGAGAAAAGCTCACTGTTCACAGATGATTGAATATCAGTAAATTCCTATTGACTTATTTCATGTCATCGGAGAATACTTTTAAGAAGGAGAAGATACTCGTAGACTATACCAAGGTCTTGAGGAACATACAAGAATGTGAGTCTGATCTACAGAGAAGAGGAGGGAGGAAATTCTAGCTCATTGACTCAGCATGAGCAAAAGCACTGAGACAGGAAGAGCAAGATCTGACTGGAAAGAGTAAATGAGTCTTGGTGTGGCGTTGTGGGTTAATGCGCTGAACTGTAAAGTCGGTTTGAACTACAAAGTCGGTGGTTCAAGCTCACCAGATGCTCCTTGGAAACCCTATACAGGGTTGCTATGGGTCGGCATTGACTCAATGGCACTTAACAATAGCAACCAAATCAAAAGGTTTGGTGAGGGCATTGTTATGAATAGAGACTAGGACTGCATCATAGAGCATCTTGAATTCCAAGCTGAAATACTTAAGCACGAACAGCTCCAGAAATTTTTTGCATAATGAGTCTGGTAGAAGTATGAATATGTGTTGGACATATATTTATATGAGACAAGTCAATACAAGATGGAGAGTTTAAGTATTCCGCTAGAATTTGAAGGTATTTCTAGAAAGAACTGAACATGTACATCATGGTACATCATCATTAACATATTCCTGTATAATTGCAATTTCTGAGATAGTTATGTCAAAGTCAGCTTTAGATTAATGAGTACGACCCTCATTGATTACGACAAGTAAAGATTACAACACTCAAAGATAAGAAGCTGACATAAAAGTCTAGAGATTTCAAATAGATCATAGTGTAAAGTTTAGTTAATTTTTTATATGCTAGGGGAAAGATAGTTTATATCTTCTTGGGTATTCAGACTAATTACTAGATATGTCAGGAAATTGATACTTCTTGCATGTGAGTTCTTCATATGCTATGAGAAGTCCTGTTGTATTGTAAGAAGACATGTCTACATTGTCACTTGTCTTTAAATCTGTTCATTGAATCTTACAAAACTGATGATGTCATCACTAAAGTGGGAGTGGTTAATGGTGGGGTCCTAGAGTAAAACTGTGTGTTAGAATCCAGCACAGCCACTCACTTGCTAGTCAGTCTTGGCTACATTTATCCCTATTCTTCAGTTTTCTCCTCTATGAATGGTGATTACAGTGATAGTACCAACATTTTATAAATATTGGGAGGATTAAACGTAAAGATAACAGAATCAGTGCCCAGCATGTGGTAGTAATTCACAAATGATAGGCATGGCATTCGTAATAAAACATAATCAGCATATAATAATATATTCATCTTATTTTTTTCTTGTTGCTTATTATTGGTTTTGTCTTAATTTGCTTTCAAATCATTGTCAGAATAATATCTAAGCTCCCACAGGGTTGTGTCTGAAGTCTCCATTGTATGGCATTATAACTCAACACACATTGTTGTTGTTAAGTGCCATCAGGTCGGCTCCGACTCCAACTTATAGCGACCTTGCATAGGATTTTCCAGGAATGGTTGGTGAGCTTGATCCACCAACCTTGAAGTCTAGCACATTTACCCACAATGCCACATCAGGACTCCTCCTCATAAGTTATTCCTAACCCCAGTGAGACTGACTGTCATCCCCTTGCTGTTCACAGTGAGTCATCTCTATGGATTTGGACTGATGGATGCAGAGGCCATGGTGATGGAGGCAGAGAAGTGGACCACCGTTCCCCAGCAGCATGTGTGTGTGGAGAGCACCGACCGACAAATCAAGTAATGTTTGATGCAAACAGGCATCCAGCAGTGCCCTGAGACAGAGAAATCAGTATGAGCACTTACAACCAACTTTGTTGCACACGCAAGTCAAAAGCTGTGCAGTGTTTTCCTAGTAACAGTATAAAATTTCCATAGAATGTGTAGGATTCTAAGCTGTTGAATCCACATTGTTGTTGTTGTTGTTGTTAAGTGCTGTCCAGTCGGTTCCGACTCATAATGACCCTGTATAGGGTTTCCAAGGAGCTGCTGGTGAGCTTGAACAGCCAACCTTGAGTTTGAAATGGCCTTGCAGTCCAGTGCATTAATCCATAGCCCCACACCAGGACTCCAATATTATCCACATTAGTATAACCCAAATCCATAGCAACTCCATGTGTGTCAGAGTGGAACTGTACACTGCAGAATTTCAATAACTGTCACCTACTGGAAGTAGATCACCAGAAACATCCTTTCAATTAATACCTAAGTACAAACCTTGTGTGCCACCAGAAGCCTTTGAAATAATGCAAGGATCATTAAAAGAAAAAAAAAAAAAAAAATGGGGCCTTGGGAGACCTTTAGGTATGGGCTTTCTTGCAACTTCTATTCTGTTTATGTTTTTACTTGCTAGTGTAAGTGGTCCCGATTAGTCATCGTACTCCAAAAAACAACTTAATTCACACTACATGATTCTCCAAAGAATGGTGCAAATGTCCTCTAAAAGAGATTATCAGTACCTTAGTCCTGTTTCCCTCTTTCAGAGGCTCAGACTCGGATTATCAAATGATTGTATGACGTTTCTCCTGGCTGCTAAATCTGAGGAACAGGATTCCATCTTAGTGGTTTTATTAGTGTTCCGCTCTTGGCTTTCTTTTAAGAGAATCCACCTACCACCTACACCCTTGACCCCAAAACTTATTTCTGAACTTTGGTTTTTAATGACAGTAGAACAACTATAATTCTTGAAGAGATTTGCTAACAAGCAGGGATAAAAGAATTAAAGTTTTCTTTTCCATTCAATTTGTGGCAAAGGATGAGGGAAGAAATAAAGCAGTGGGAAGCTATAAACATTATTACTTGAGCACTTGGGGGTGGAGCCTATAGCAATTTAATGCATGCTTAATTATTATTAAAACTTTAAAATTTGGGTATTATTCCCATTAGACAAATAAGGAAACAGGACCACAGGGATTATTTGTTTATTCAGCCAGTAATTTACCAATCCAATGACTATTTTTCTTGTACTTATTGTATATCAAGCACTGAGCTACATATTAGTGGTAAAAAGAAGAAGAAGAATAAGTCTTGCCTCACGGAGCTTACAGTCTAGTAGAAGAGTCAAAGTCAAAGAAGAAAGAATTACTAGTTATAATAGTGAGCTTTGGAAATAAACAGGATTGAAAATAAGAGAGAATGGGATATGTTTTCTCATGTGGTCCAGTGAAGGTCCAGTGAAGGTCAAGGTAAAATTTAAGTATTGGCTCTAAAGAAAGAGAAAAAAAACATATAAAGGTCAACCACAAAAGTACTTCAGGCATAATAGTGTGAACAAAGTCTACACAGTGGAAAAGACTGGAATTGCCCCAGAACTTGCACCACCATCTGTGTGGCTGGAGCATGGAGGTAAAGAGGACAAAGGCATAGGAGGAAACTGGAGAAGAGGACAGGAAAGAGTGTACACATAGATTATGAAGCAAGGAAATGGTAGACACATCCAGATTGTGTTAATTCCCAGGCCTGTACTATATATACCACAATATCCTGTATACGTGGTCCTCACAGGGTACTCGACAGATCAGCAGTGTCACTGGTACCTGGGAACTTATGAGAAATGCAAATTCTTGAGATATACCCAGACGTACTGAATCAGGCCCTAGGGGGCTGGGGCTCAACAATCTATTTTTTTAACATGGTGATAGCAATGTATATGCTAGTTTGATGTCCACTACCTGCAGGAAACATACCCGTTGCTGGCTAGTCAATTCTGACTCATCGTTTCCCTATAGGACAGAGTAGAATGGCCCTAGCGGGTTTCTGTGATTGTAATCGTTATGTAAGCTAAGGGCCTTGTCTTTCACCCATGGAGCAGCTGGTGGGTTCATACTATCAATCTTTCAGTTAGCAACCAAGCACTTAATGACTATGCCACCAGGGCTCCTGCACAAAGAGGACCTAATTCACCTTTTTTGCTTTCTTTCATCTTTCTCACTGCTTAACCAGTGTTAACCCTTTAAGTGACTCAATCATTTAGGAAATGTCACTTGTGGTCCATTCGTATCTAGGGACCTGCTGTTTGCATTACGTTGTATAAATACACCAGGCATCGAGAGTTATTCCATCAAGCTCTACCATATCTATTCAAACACCCTTTCTCTCTCTCTCTCTCTCTCTGTGTTGCAGAACAATTCGCCCCAACAGCGCAGTACGCTCCATCTACAAAGCTTCGGGCTGCTCAGATAACCCCAACCACCATGTCAACTACCTGGAGCATGTAGTGGTGCGCATAACCATTACCCACCCCAGGAGAGGAGACCTGGCCATCTACCTGACCTCACCCTCAGGAACCAGGTCCCAACTTCTGGCCAACAGGTACAGTTTGGGCCTCTGCCCACAATTGTAGGGGTCCTACAACACTCAGCTCGTCTTTAGAGGGTCAGCAGCTACTGACTGCTACCCTCAGAATCAAGTGAGGCACAGAGAGATGTCACGATGGAATGGTAATAGATCTCACTACTCTTAAATAGAGAGTGTGAGGGTACCGAGAATTGTCACAGGTGGATAATAGAAAATGGAATCAGAAATAAAACTGAATCATCTGTTGTTCTTCATAAAAACAAAATGCAGAGCACTAATATTTATATTTGGAGTTCTGGTGTGGTGCTGTGGGTTAATGCGCTGTCCTACAAAGTTGGTTTGAACCGTAAGGTTGGTGGTTCAAGCTCACCAGCCGCTCCTCAGAAACCTTATACAGAGTCACAGCTGGTGAGTTTTATATGTATATATGTATGAAGTGTATTTATATATATTCTCTTAAAATATTATATATATAAATAGAGATAGAGAGAGAAAGTCCTGGTGTGGCACTCTAAGTTAATGTGCTGGACTGCAAGGTCAGTTTGAACCACAAGTTTGGCAGTTCAAGTTCACCAGCTTCTCCTTGGAAACCCTATACAGGGTCGCTATGAGTTAAAACCAGCTCAACAGCACATTAACAACAACAACATTATATTAAAGGACTCTGCTGACATCCTCTGCAGGGGCCATAGAGCTATCATGTAAGCCCTTTACACATATGCCCCATGCCTCAGGAAAAAACAGCTGATATATGTGGTTGTTGTTTTTCCCGAAAACCTGGGGTCTCTTGTTGACTATTCATGTGATTCAAAACCATTGGCTAATCGCTTGCAGGCCTCCTGAATTATTAGGTATCCTTAGGAGTCCTGGTGTGGCTCTGTGGGTTAATATGCTGGTCTGCCAGGTCTGTTTGACCCTCAGGGTCAGCAGTTCAAGCTCACCAGCCACTCACTGGAAAACCTATACAGAATCACTATTAGTCGGAACAGACTTGACGACACTTGTGGCTCCATACAAAAAAACATTGGACCATGGACCACAACCACCACTTGTCTGTCACTTTGTCGTACTGTGGTGGTTTGTAAGTTGCTATGATTCTGAAACCTATGCCACCGGTATTTTAAATACCAGCAGGGTCAGCCATGGGGGACAGGCTTCAGATGAGCTTCCAGACAAAGACTGACTAGGAAGGAGTGATGAACTACTTCCGAATATTAGTCACTAAAAACCTATGAATAGCAGAGAAACACTGTCAGAAAGAGTGCCAGAAAATGACCCCCTCAGGTTGAAGGCACTCAAAATACGACTGGGGGAGAGTTGCCTCCTCAAAGTAGAGTTGACCATGATGACATGAATGGAATAAAGCCAGTGGGAGAAAAGCCCACTGGACTTTCATTTGCTGATAGGGCACAACTCAAAATGAAGAGAAACAGCTGTAAACATCCACTGAAAAATGGAACATGGAACATACGAAGTATGAATCTGGGAAAATTGGAAGCTGTCAAAATGAAATGGAATGCATAAACATCGATATCTTAGGCACCAGTGAGCTGAAATGGACTGGTATTCGCCATTTTTAATCTGATGACCAAATGGTTTACTATGCCAGAAATGACAAATTGAAGAGGAATGGTGTTGCAATCATTGTCAAAAAGAACATATCCAGATCACTCATGTGGTACAACATGGTATGTGATAGGATGATATCCATGTGCCTACAAGGGAAGCCTAGTTAATACCACTATTATTCAAATTTACGCACTAACCACTAATGCCAGTGAGGATTAATAGAAGAATTATGCCAACTTCTTCAATCTGAAATTGATCAAACATGCAATCAAGATGTGTTGATCATTGCTGGTGATTGGAATGCAAAGGTTGGAAGCAAAGAGGAAGGATCAGTAGTTGGAAAATATGGCCTTGGTGATACAAATGATGCTGGAGAATGCATGATAGAATTTGGCAAAATCAATGATTTGTTCATTTCAAATACCTTCTTTAGACAGCATAAGAGACAACTATACACATGGACCTCACCAGATGGAATACATAGAAATCAAATTGACTACATCTGCAGATAGAGATGATGGAAAAGCTCCATATCATCAGTGAAACAAGGCCAGGGGTAGACTGTGGAACAGACCATCAATTACTCCTATGCAAATTCAAACTGAAGCTGAAGAAAATGAAAACAAGTCCACGAGAACCAAAATATGACCTTGAATATATCCCACCTGAATTTAAAGATCTTCTGAAGAACAGATTTGATACATTAAACACGAAAGACCAAAGACCAGAAGATTTGTGGGATGACATCAAGAACATCATACATAAAGAAAGCAAAAAGTCTTTAAGAAGACAAAAAAGAAGGAAAAGGTCAAAATGGATGTCAGAAGAGACACTGAAACTTGCTCTCCAGCACAGAGATGCTAAAGCAAATGGAAGAAATGAGGAGGTCCAAGAGCTGAACAGAAAATTTCAAAGATCAGCTCGAGAAGATAAAGCCAAATATTACAATAAAATGTGCAAATAGCTGGAATCAGCAAACCAAAAAGGAAGAACACACTCAGTATTTCTCAAGTTGGGGGAACTGAAGAAAAATTCAAGTCTCAACTTTTGTTATTGAAAGATTCTCTGGGAAAATTATTGAATGATTTAGAAAACATCAAGAGATGATGGAAGGAATACACAGAGTCACTGTACCAAAAGGAAATGGTTAATGTTCAACCATTTCAAGAGGTAGCCTATGATCAAGAGCCAATGATACTGAAGGAGGAAGTCCAAGGTGCATTGAAGGAACTGTCAAAGAACAAGGCACCAGGAATTGATGGAATCAAAATCAAACTCTCTCAAGAAAGTGATATGGCACAGGATGCACTCACTCATCTCTGCCAAGAAATTTGGAAGACTACTATCTGGCCAACTGATTGGAAGAGATCCGTATTTGTGCCCATTCCAAAGAGAAGTGATCCAATGGAATGCGGAAATCATCAGATAATCTCTTTGATATCCCATGCGAGTAAAGTTTTACTATAGGTAATACAGAAACGGCTGCAAGCATACATTGACAGAGAACTTCCAGAGGTTCAAGCCGAATTCAGAAGAGGCTGTGGAACGAGAGATATCATTGCTAGTGTCCGATGGATCTTGGCTGAAAGCAGAAAATATCAGAAAGATGTTTACCTGTGCTTTATTGACTATGCAAAGGCTTTGGATTGTGTGGATCATGACAAGCTATGGACAACATTGCAAAGTATAAGTATTCCAGAACACTTCATTGTGCTCATGAGGAATCTGTACCTGGACCAAGAGGCAACTGTTCAAACAGAACATGGGAACATGGAATGTTTTGAAATTAAGAAAGGTGTGTGACAAGGTTGTATTCTTTCACCATGCTTGTTCAATTTGTATGCTGAGCAAATAATCCAAGAAGCTGGGTTATATGAAGAAAAATGTGGCCTGAGGATTTTAGGAAGACTCATTTACACACCTGTAATATGCAGATGATACAACCTTGCTTGCTGAAAATGAAAGGGACTTAAAACATTTACTGATGAAGATCAAAGAGCACAGCCTTCGGTATAGATTACATCTCAATGTCAAGAAAACAAAAATCCTCATTATTGGACCAACAAACAACTTTCTTATTAACGGAGAAAAGATTGAAGTTGTCAAGGACTTCATTCTTGAATCAACTACCAACACTCATGGAAGCAGCAATCAGGAAATCAAACGACGTATTGCATTAGGTAAATCTGCTGCACAAGACCTTTTTAAAATGTTGAAGAGCAAAGATGTCAACTTGAGGTCTAAGGTGTGCCTGACCCAAGCAATGGTGTTTTCAATAACCTCATATGGATGTGAAAGCTGGACAGTGAATAAGGAAGACCATAGAAGAAGTGATGCTTTTGAGTTATGGTGTTGGAGGAGAATATTGAAAGCACCATGGGCTGCCAAAAGAACCAATAGATCCGTTTTGGAATGTGTGCATCCAGAATGCTCCTTGGAGGCCAAGATGGTCAAACTTCATCTGTCATGCTTCGGACATATTGTCATGAGGGACCAGTCGCTGGAGAAGGATATCATGTTTGGTAAGGTGGAGGGTCAGAGAAAAAGAGGAAGACCCCTCAACGAGATGGCCAAGTGGCAGCATCGATGGACTCAAGCGTGGCAACAATAGTGAGGTTGACTCAGGATCGGGCAGTGTTTCATTCTGCTTTGTATAAGGTCTCTATGAGTCGGTACCGACTCGATGGCATGTAGCAACAACATGGACCACAAGGCCCATAGTTCAAGCCACAAGTTCCGCAGTTAGAGCCCTCCAGCCTCTCCATGGGAGAAAGATGAGGCTTTCTGCTCCCTTTGCATGGGGCCTTATATGATCACAAAATCATTTGGTCTGGCCCTGCCAAGACAACTGCAGTTCCAGCCTTCACATTGTTGTTGTTAAGTGCCATGGAGTTGGTTGTGACCCTGTATTGGGTTTTTGAGAAGCAGCTGGTGAGCTTGAATCTCTGAACCACAAGTGGTTTAAAGTGACTGCAGTCCAGCGCATTAACCCACAGCACCACACCAGGACTCCGAGCTGTCACATTGTGTTATTTTTAAGTGCTATCGAGTCAATTCCGACACACAGCAACCCTGTATAGGGTTTCCAAGGAGCAACTGGTGAGCTTGAGCCACTGACCTTGCAGTTTAAAGCTACTTTGCTATCCAGTGCATTAACTCACAGCACCATACCTGGACTCTTAGCTGTCACATTAGGAATGAGTTAATTAAATATGTAACCAAATATATCAGGGTAATTTTTTAAGTTGATAATTTTGTATGGCCTGTGAATGATGTTAAAAATTTTGGCAGAAAAAAAGGTTCCCCACCCCTGATTTAAAGCCTCGAAACGGTTCATGGAAAAATGAAATGAAAAGATAATGGGATTTTTCCATGAATTTTTTTAAGCCCCGTCATATTTTAATGATTGTAGCTACTTGCAAGCATGAAATCAGGCATCAAGCTGG